AGCAGAGTGGGAGTATACCCACTAGTACACACACATATATATTAGATGAGATAAATGTGTGTCTTTGTGTGTGTGTGTGTGTGTGTGTGCATTCACATTTGCTGTATATATAAAATGAATGTGGTGGAGCATCGAGGGGGAAAGTTATGAAAATTATCTGTTGCTGGGCATGGAGGATTTAGAGCATAGAATTGGGAGACCCCAAAGTCAATTCCCATAACATAGTTCACAAAGATAATGTTCTCTATCCTACTTTGGTGACTAGTGACTGGAGTCAGTAAGAACTCATGAGCAACTCTCTAAGCTATATCCATTGGTCTCACCTTGTCCAGAGAAAAGAAAAACACCTTCCTGTCCTTGAGTCAATGCTGAGTCATAGTGACCCCTGTGGGTTTCTGACACTGTAACTGTTTATAGGAATAGAAAGCCCAATCTTTCTCCCATGGAGCTGCTGGTGGTTTTGAACTGCCAGCCACAAGGATCACAGACCAATGCCTCACCGCTACATTACCAGGACTCCATAGAGGAAAGAAGGATGATGAAAATCAGAAGACATGGAAACAACTTTTTCAAAGTATCCCTGGTAGCATAATGGTTACCCATTGGGCTGCAATTTGCCACATCAGCAGTTCAAAACCACCAGCCACTTCATGGTAGAACTACAGGGCTTCCTATTACAGTAAGGACCCTTCGCACAATGGGGGACAACACTGGATATACAGTGCAGGAATTGTGCCTACTCTGACCCCACCACCCTGGGGTGAAACACTAAAGGCATGCAACAGAGCAGCAAGGGGAGTAAAGCAATGGAGTTTCTGAAGAACACCAAAACTAGACTTTGGGGCCAGAGTGTGGCACCCCATAGATTCAACCAGAAAACACTCCTAAAGGTCAACAAACTATTTATAGCCTTTTCTTTTTTTCCTTGGATTTTTTTGTTGTTGTTGTTATTGTTTGTTTTCTTTTGTTGTTTTGATTGGCTTTGTTTTGCTTTTGTGCTAATTATTAGTTTTGCATGTCTATCTATATAAGATAGGTGGGATAAACAACCCAGAGGAGAAGACAATGGGACCGACCATTCTGGGGGGACATGGGAGAGAGGGAGGCAGGGGAAAGGAAGGAGGGTGCCTATAAACCCAGGGACAAGGGAACAACAAGTGATCTAAAATCAATGGTAAGGAGGGCACAGGATGCCTGGTGGTGCTTGACCAAGTGCAATGTAGCCAAGAGGAATTATGGAGAGCTGGATGAAGGGCAAACATGATAGTGGGACAGGAGGAAAGGAAAAGGAAATAGAGGAAAGAAATAGGAGGAAAGGGACATTTATAGTGCTCTAAATACAGGGATATACATATGTAATATATTTATATATAATGATAGGAAAATAGATCTATGTACATATATTTATACATTAAGTATTATGGTAGCAGATGGATATTAGGCCTCTAGTCAAGTATTCCCTTAATGCAAGGACACTTTGTTCTAATAACCCAGCATTCTGTGATGCTCACCTTCCCGATGTGATTGCTAAAGACAAAATGGGTGCATAAGCAAATGTGGTGAAGAAAGCTGATGGTGCCTGGCTATCAAAAAATATAGGGTCTGGGGTCTTAAAGGCTTGAAGATAAACAAGCAGCCGTCTAGCTGAGAAGTAACAAAGTCCACATGAAAGAAGCACACCAGCTTGTGTGATCATGAGGTGTCTATGGGATCGGGTATCAGGGATCAAAGACCCAGAACAAAAAAATTCTATCAGTGTGAATGAGGGGGGGGCGAGAAGTGGAGACCCAGAGCCCATCTGTAGACAATTGGATATTCCCTCACAGTAGGGTCACCAGGAAGAGATGAGCCAGTCAGGGTACAGTATAGCACCAATGAAACATACATCTTTCCTCTAGTTCTTTAATACTTCCTCCCCCCTACTATCATGACCCCAATTCTAACTTACAAATCCAGCTAGACCAGAGCATGTACACTGGTACAGATAAGAACTCACAATACAAGGAATCCAGGACAAATAACCCCTTCAGGACCAACAATGAGAGTAGTGATACCAGGAGGGGAAGGAGAAGGTCTGGGGAGGAAAGGGAAACTGATCACAATGATTAACATATAACCCCCTTCCAGGGGGACAAACAATAGAAAGTTGGGCAAAAGGAGAGAGTGGTTGGTGTAAGGCATGAAAAAAATAATAATTTATAAATTATTAAGGGGTCATGAGGGAGGGAGGGTGGGGAAAAATGAGCTGATAGTAGAAAGAAAATGTTTTGAAAATGATGATAGCAACATATGTACAAATGTGCTTGCCACAATGGATGGATGGATGGATGGATTGTGATAAGAGCTGTATGAGCCCCCAATAAAATAGCAATAATAAAAAAGAGGTAGTCTCCAAAACTCCCAGGGGCAGTTCTACCCTGTGCTATGAGGTTACTATGAGTTAGCACCAACTCCATGGCGTTGACTTAGTGAGTGCAAGGTAGGAATAGACCAAATGAACTTCTACCTCCATAGTTCTGAGACCAGAAGGACTAGATGGTACCCAGCTCCTATCAACTGCTCTGAAAAAGATCACAATCAAAGGTCCTGGGTAGAGTGAGAGACAATGTGGAATAAAAGTCAAAATCATAAAAGAGACCAGGATCACTAGTAGGACAGAGACTGGTAGACCCCCCCAAGATTATGGCCTTTAATCACCCACTAGGTTTGGAGATGAACTCACGCCCATATTAGACTAATCAACAGCAGACAATTGCGATGGCCCTGCAGCTGGGTTTCTTCCATCTCTCCTTTCCTTCCAGAATATGCTTAGACATCTCAAGTGAATGTAGAAGGAATGCCACACCAGGCCATTCCTCTTTGGATCTCTCTAATGACTTCTCCTTACTTTCAGGGTGCAAACCAAAATCTTTTCCATGGCCTGTAAAAACCTTCATGATCCGGGCTCCTACTGCTTCCTTGACCATATGTTTTTTGCTCTACTACTGTGCTTCTACCAGGCTGCTACCATCAAGCAATTCAAACATCAAACACTCCTCTGCCTAGTGCCTTGGTACTTGGCCTTTTCTCTGATGAGAATGCACGATCTGTGTATCCCACACTGCTCAATTCCCCCACGGCTTTCTTGCTTCTGTTCAAAGAGCACATTCAAGCAGTCTTTCCAGGACTATCAAAATAACATCTCACAAATCTGCCTTTACCAGTATTCTCTCTATCCTTTCCCCCATGAGATCTATCACAATCTTCTAGATTTCGAAATGTTTTAATTGCTTCTTTTTTTAAAATCATTTTATTGGGGGCTCTTACAGACATTATAACAATCCGTAAATCAATTATATCAAGCAAACTTGTACATATGTGGCCATCGTCTTTACAGAACATCATCTTTCTACTTGAGCCCTTATTAACAGCTCCTCTTTTTTCCCTCCCTCCCCCACCCTTCAACCACATGAACTCTTGATAGATTTTATGTATATATGTTTCATATCGTACACTGTCCAATTTGTTTCTTTCTTGCCTCTGCCCTAACTATGGTGGAACGAAAATGCCATAAAAGCAGGAACTTTGCTTTTTCTACCATGGGACAGGGCCTGACAGGTGCAAAGACTTTCAAATGGTCGGTCATTGTACTTTACTTGAAAGGTAACCAGTTAGCTTGTCACAATTTAGTGGACATCCAGAAAAGACCAAGATTCCTAAGAGAAAATACTTAATTGTCCAATAGTAATATCCAGAGTGTAAGTGTGTGTGTTAGTTCCCAAGGATCCAATGATTCTTGTACAGAAAAGTGGTGTATTACAGGAGAAAAACACCATGCTTTTTAAAATCCCAAATCTCACCTGAACTTTTCTCTGGGGAGAGAAGTTTATAATGTTGCTAGTGATTTTAGTCCTTTCACACTGAACTATTTTGTGCCTATAATTTTTTTCGTGAAACCATATTGCTTCAATGGTGGAGTGCATGTTGAACCATAGACTACTGGTAATCTTTTTTCCTCACATGATAGATTCTTACAAATATCATATAGTACTCTACAGGTGAACTGTAGAGTTGAAGTTGGTGAAATGAAGCAAGGGAAAAATAATTCTCTCTCTTTCTTTGTGTGTGTGTGTGTGTGTGTGTGTGTATTTGAGTGAAACTTGGAAAACATGGAGCAACACAAAGGTAGTCTGAGCTTGCTGAAATGCACATAATTGTTCAGAAGCCTGCACAGCAAAAAAATATAAATGGTATTTATTTGTACTGACAGTCATAAAGCATATTAAGAGCACATACTTCATCTGAAAATAACTGATCCACTTGAATGTTACCTATTTCCCCAAATCACACCTTCCCAATAACACAAAGGAAGCAGTAAATGCATTTCCAATCCTTATCTCATTGTATAGAAGTCCAAAGAGATAAGTGCTTCACAATATATCACTTCTCGCCACAGCAATATGGCACCAGCACAGTTCTATTTTATGCAGCTAATCAAGTCTCTGCCTTAAAGTCACCACATATTATAAGTCGCAGAAAAGCATGCCAGTATACCCATTGGCAGAAAATGTCGCTAGTACTTTTTTATACCTGTGTTCACGTAAATATTAGCTGTCATCTAGTCTGGACTTAATTAATGCAGCCCCATGCACAATGCTGACAGTCCTAGCCTCCCACAATCAGTCACAGATTGGATCTTTGTGACCCATAATTTTCTTTGGATGATGTTCAGAAGTGAATCACAAGGTCCTTCTTTCTACTCCATGTTAGTCTGGAAGTTCCACTGGGCCTGCCAGCCTCCACTGATGAACAGGTGAGGATTACACATGAGATGCTTTGGCTGGAAATAAAATTTGAGTATCCCTTATAGAAGGTAAGAATCATGTAACTAGAACACCAAGGATCTGCATCTTTATTATATTGGACACTAAACAAGCCAGCCCTTCATTCTCAGAGAGACATTATTTGTATCTTCCAAAATATAGTCTGAGATATGAACAGTTGGTGCCTCAACTCACAAGATGCATAAAATGTGGGAGAAACCATTATCATGAAGGTGGTTTTCCCAAGGTGAGGAATATCCATTGCCCTTTGGATATGTTGACCCTGTGATTTTTCCCAACTGTAGGAAATTCAACTACATAATTTGTAACTGGGGACTGTTTTAACACTCTCTCCTATAAGAAAAAAAAATTAGCCATAAGAAATAGTAAATGTTCACCCAGAAATATATTGTAGATACATAATATTTATTTTTAATAGTAGTTCAATTCTTTGAGTTAGATAAAATTGTTGATTCTATTTCAGATAAATAAATCAAGGAACAACAAACTTTTACTACCTCTCCAAGAACTTAACAGCTGATGAGTGGCTGCAGTTTGCATATTTTAGAGACCAAGGCGTCTCTGTATCTATTGGGTCCTTCAATCAGCTTGGGCCAGGGGTGCTCAACACATCAATCACGATCAATTAGTCAATCACAAATGTAGTGTGGGTAGATCGCATGGCATTAAAAAAGTAGACGTAAGCCTATCATCAATCCCGTCATTTAATTGACATACAGCATAAACAATCAGATGCAATCTTAGGTGTCAGACGCAATTTTTAGACCTTGGTGTGTTTTTTTTCTCTTAAACGTAAGAAAGGGTATTAAAATGAGTGGGGGAGCTGGACCAAGTAAGAAGACAAACTGTATCACTTTCATATGGAATGGGAGATTTAGACCCTACATTCAGCTGAAGTCCAGAGCACATGAACAGTTCTGGAACTTAATCACAGAAGGAAAGTGCCCAAACATGAGAAAATGTGCTACCTCCTTGAATGCATTATTAGACTCTACTTGCCTTTTCCCTCATACAGATCCTTAAGTCGAAGCACCGTTCCACCATGACTGACGATCATTTGGAATTGTGCTTGAGGCTGGCTGTCAGCAGCTACTGTCCTGATATGCATCCCTGGCTCATTCCATTCAGTGCAAGTCATCAGAGTAAACTCAGGTCATGACAAAAAATGTACATAGTTCATTGTGTTGTGTAGTGCAATATGGACTCATGTGGATATGCAAGGTACATAAACATACATTGTACATATGAATAATTCTCAATGAATTTATTAATAAATGTAAAAACTAGATAAATAAAAATACATATGTTTTGCATTTTTGTAGTTGGTAGATCATTTTCATTTGATCATTTTATAAGTAGCTCCCATGCTGAAGAAGTGTGAGCACCCTGGTTTGGCCTTGTGAATGAATGACAAGCAAAGAAAGGGAATAGAAGATAAAGAAGAATAAAGAAGGGAAGAAACAACAGAGAAAGATTTTTAGACATAAAAGTGCACATTTTTCTGATCCAAGGAAAAAACCAAATCGTTTTGTTTCATCTACCTGCTCCTATTACTAGAACGAAAGGAACATCAGAGATTAGGTAGCATACGCCTTCTAAATTACATCATTTAAAATGTGTAAATTCACTTACAGGTGAGCAAACCGGAGCTCAAGCAAGGAAAGGACTTCCCGTAGTAAGGCATGTTTTATTGAGAGAAGCCTTTATGAGATAGTTCAAGTCTGTGCCACCTCCCCATCCCCCACCTTTCACTTTCTTACACAGGTGTAGTTCCTGGCACCTCGGAGCCAGAGTTAATCAGTCACCGAGGTGGAATTTCTGTGGCCATCCTACATATATAGCCTTTACCGTTCAGGGATCTGGATAGAAGTGGTCATCTCACTACAGTTTTCAACTAAGCTCTGGACTCCGGGCGCGAGCCATGAAGGCAATAAGCATCTTTCTGCTCGGTGCCTGGGCCTTGTTCAGTTTGTCTGGTAAGTGACTTTGTCAATTGTTCTCTGACTTGAGTGAAACTTTTTGATCTGTTGGTCTGCTGAGTACATTACTCTCCAGACGTTGAGTTAGTCTTAGCTCTGTTGGTCCGGATGATATGCAATAAGATCAGTGGATGAGAATCAGAGAGAGAGTGTAATATAAGATGGGGGAAATGTCTGCTAAGTGAGGATTTTCCTCAAATCGTTTTCCTCTAGCACAATAGGCTGATGTTTTCAGAGATAAAGTAGGGAAAAGGTGACTTTTTTCCCAAACTTGAGTACACATCTACATGTGTACATGTATAAGGACAGTTCACAAAATTTAAAGTCCCAGAGAATTGCATTAAACTAGGTTACAATGTGATTTAGCTATTTGGTATGCAAGGCAGAATTTCATTGATTAAAATATTTATTGATTGATCTTCAGGATGTTTCAGGGGAAAACATTTTGCTTTAATAGATGGTGTATGTCTATATCTTGACCAGGTTTGCAGACAATTTTGGCCCTATGGAATTGGAAATAAATAATATTTTCAACTTCCTCTCAGATCATGCCAAGAAACTTATTAAGAGCGCAGTGAGCATCTCTCTAAGGAGAGGAGGAAATTTGGTTATGTATTAGCTAAATACTTACGGGAGTTGTAGGTTCTTTGCCCCATCTCATGCAAATCAGATAATACAAGCAGAGGCTTGCGGTGATCACTCACTCAACAATTTTCACATGCAAGGAGATTCTGATCTCCTATGGCTTTTTAGAAAAATCAGACTATTCCAGGGCAACTTCTTCTCCAAGCCCATGGATGCTTCACGAATTTTCAATTCGCTTAGCTAGGAAAAACTAGCTCCTTAACCAGATGAAGGTCCTCAGCAGGCCCAAACCGTTAGTCACTGACTACTAACCACAAGATTGTAAAGCCAGTCTTACCGAGTGGTGCTGTAATCTGCTTCTGTACAAGTTACAGCGAAAAGGATCCAATGGAGGGGTTCTAGTCTCAGACACAGGAATGGCCATGAGATGGAATCAGCACCACATTAATGGATTGGTGTTGATTTACCCAAATCACTGCAAGATGGTTGAGAACAGCCAAACCAAATCTCACTGATATTTCCTCCGAGGTGGGTGTCCTCTCAGATGAATTCCCCTTCCCTTCAATGAACTCACACACAGTTACACTTTCCTGCATGATGTCAACAACTTTCCTGTTTAGGGGAGAATGCATAGTAGTTATTCTGATCATCTATTTTTATGTCCACAAAACATGAATTGGCCCTATAATTTGACAGTGGAATGCAACTGTGGGAAATAGCTCTTTCTCTAATGGTGAGGTCTCAACAGGTTACCACCTTTTAAATTCAGTTACAAAATAGGACGTAAAGAAGTTACCAGGGTTGGGAAGAAAAGGGAAAAGGGTGGCTTGTTTTGAAGGTGTTTGTTTTCTGTTAATGATGGTGCAAAAGCTTGGGAAAGAATCATGAGAATGTTGGCACAGCTTTAAGAATGTAACCAATGTCACTGTGTTATATGAGAGGCCCTCAATCAATCATGGAAAAATTCCATTATCTTTCATTCCATTTATCCAGGAACTTTTTGAAGGCCCCTCATACTTGTACAGATTGTTGAATTGGCAGATATTTTATTTGTCATATTTCCATCACAATTAATAAGTTAAAATAGAGGTAGATCAAGAGAAGACTTACACGTTAGTTTGGTGCCAGAATACCTAGTTATCACCAATAGTAATAATGGATCACAACTAGTCATAAGGACTCTCCATACTTTCACCCATAAACTGAGATAAAGATACTAACGGCATCCCTAAATAATTTAAGGAGCAAAACTCTTTATGAGAAGTGAACGGCTCACCAGGCATGTGCTCATGGCCAAATATACTTCAAGCAGTAACAACAGAGCTTCCGTTTCCAAAGAATTGGATCCATATGTTTGAAACCACACGTTGCGTTATTTTGATCATGATTACGCTTCGTTAATAGTTTTCCAGGTTTCAGTAGGCAGAAATCAATCCCAGTCATATATCGGTGAAAAAAGAGGGGACCTCAGGCATGGAGAATGGAAGAGGGCAACAGAGGAGCAGTCTTCAAGGAAAGAAAATTATGAATGATTGTCCGTGGGCCTCTCTTGTCTGAGGACTCACCTTAACATGTCTGATTTATGTTTTCTAGGTAACACTCGAACTGATGGCCTGGAAATTGAGGTAAAAGGCATTTTGTAGCTTCTTGTTTATCAGGGGGAAACTTTTTGTCCCGAGCAAAGAACAGTAGAGCAGGTACCTTTTAGCTGAGCCAGAAGCCAGAATGAGACATAACTAGAAAAATCCAAATAATAATGGTTCCCCTCACAAGCTCATGTATAAAGACAAATCCCTTGGTACAAAGACAAGTGCCTTGTGATTGTATAATGTTTGTTGTAACGTGTTATAGATCCTAGGACTAGTCGTCCCCTGGGTGGAAAAAACAGTGAAGTGGTGGATTACTAACTGAAGTACAAGTGGATGCCGCGGAAAGGTCAGAGATGCCATGAAAGGTCAGAGAGCTTATGAAAACCCTGCAGAGTACATGTCTGCTCTGAAATGCACTGGGTCTACATGAGTGGGGTTTGCCTCTATGTCTACTAGGTTTATTTGGGGATTTTGCTATTGTTGCCGTTGCTGTTCTTTTTAGGACTAGCCAATAGGATAACTATTGTGAGTGGAAATTTTCTCAAACCCACTACACACAGCCCCTCCTCCTTACGTCCTGTTTGACCCCCTTGGTATAAAACTCCCCTAATTACAAAGGTGAATCTCTAACTTATAATGAACAACAAAAGAATAATAAACTATGTTCTTCTACAAAAATATTCTACATCTAATTCTACCCCCACCTTGTGTTTAACAGACAATATCAGTAAATTTTGAGACCAGAAGTGTCCCGCTTTCATTTTTTTAAATATGTAGTGGGGAGGAAGATAATATTAAAAGTTCATGAAAGAGTAAATGCTGCATTTAAAAAAAATAAATATTCTGCATATATTCTGGTATCATTAGGAATCATTAGCCTAGTAAGAGAGATCAAGGAATATATTCCTAGATAAGTGAGATTTCCTTGAACCTATAAAACATAAACAGGACCAGTAAAATATAACTCACGATAAAAATTAGTACAGTGTATCCCTGCTCCGAACAGCCAATGCACAGATTGGACCATATGGCTGATCCCACTATGAGACATGACATCCCTCACTGACCCATGGCCCTACGGGGGACAACACTGGAGACTCAGTGTTGGGATTGGCCTGGTCTGACCCCACCAGACTGAGGCAATACACTAAGGGCATGCTGCAGAGCAACAGGGATAGCAGAG